AAAGATGTTTTCATTTTATGTAACTTTTTTTTTTGGAACCTCAAAATAATCCGCGATCGCTATAATCTCTGTCACAGCCTCTGCTCTTCGGGTGAGCACTTTATGCACACTGGGTAAACTTTCACTGTGTAATAGCCTGCAAATCACTTTTATCAAATTTTATCAATTGCAAAAGCTATTAGATGACGTTTAAAAAATTAAAAATTAACCGAACATACCTAACTCAAAGGGAAACCAAGATGATTAGGACAGATTAAATTTTTTTAATTTTAATTATACATCATTGAAAATATGAAAAATTAATATGACACAATTTTTCAAAATAATCCATCAAATCAAACGACTAATTAACACCCCTTCATCATCTACATCTAGGACCATATCAACTCAAATATCCTTCATTTTTTTCAGAAATTATTATCACATTCGAATTATACATAGTGTTGGCACCTAGTATTATAGCAGTAACTATTGATGACTAACTGTTGACATAAAGTACAAGATTTATTTTTAAACTTTTTTTTGGTACAATTTTATTTTTTCCTTTCAAGCACGTATAACACTAATAAATGAAGCAGCCGCATTATTAATTTCAATTTTCAACAGTCCTTATATATACAAAACCAACTATTTTAGGCATTACATAATTGTTTCGGTTCTTTATATTTTCTTGTCTGATTTATTAATTTTTTCTTACCTAAATATAACAACGGACAATTATTTTAATTCTATAAAACTAGGTAAAATTGCCTATAACTAAATAAAAGACCTTCAAAAACTCAAACAATCGAAGCTAAAGATTAATAATAGAGAATTTCCAAGATAAATATTAGTATGTCTTAGCCCGTAAAATTGTTGGGTATATAATGCCACGTGTCAAGTATTTTAAAAGTATTAAAACTGTTTAAACTTTTGAACAAGAATTTTTTTTATTTATCCACATTTTAGAGATATTTGCTCATGATATATTCCTATACTATGTACAAATCTAATGATAATTATATATGTCAACCTAAAAGAAAGAAGATCATGATTATGGATTTTTTTTAAAATAATTGAATTGTGATGATGTCAAGGACATATGTTTTAATTTAACTCGTTATTAAATTTGATTATTCACAATATTTGATATACAAAAAAAAATCCCTTTTGATTTTTAGGAGTAAGTGAATTTCTTAATTCATGTACCCAAGAATAAACATCAAATGTTTTGGTTTGGAGGAAGTATATATATGTTTTATATATATATGTGATTACAAGGTAAAATTACATATATTTAACTTGTCTCCATCCATATTATATTGTTCAAGAGCTAATATATTAAAATGTGGATATTATATTTATTTATACTGAAAAACCAACAGTATGTGTGTTGTAACATTATATTGTAGTAGACAACATTTACAGTTTATGTGCAATTTATTAGTCCTTGTCGGAAGAAAATATTTCCTATAAACAAAAAAAAAATTGATAAACTACGAGGTTCGATAAAATTCTTTGTCCGTTCTATATTAGTTTCCCACTTTCTCTTTACACTCCTCTTAAAAAAACAGAAATACAAAGAATAATTTTACTGATTCATACTTTCAAAAAGAATTACTAATTGTAAGGATAAAATTGGAAAATATAATAAATTCTATCTTAACTTTGTAATTAGGTCAACTATATTTAGTAACATGAACAACTAATTAATATGCGATGAAAGAACTACTTCCAGGTGCATAAACCCTAATTAAGAGCATATACAATTTGACTTGCCATGGCTTGATGGTGGATTACATATGGAGATATACATAGGGTTTTTTTAAATAATTGGTAGTTAATATACTAGGAACATTTATCTCTTGGTGTTACTAACACTAGACACTTTATTTAGCAACATAATTTTACTTTTTCCCCGCAAAGGAGTTTTCTTAAAAATAAAAAATAAAAAACTCACGAATCAGTACAAGAAAAATAAATAAAGGGAGGAGTTAATGTTTCTTTTCTATGTATGTAGGAGGTCTAGGGCTATCTTTTTAAAACAATTTCTGATTTACCAAAAAATATTTAATTTAAACCAGTCTTTCCCCTTTACCAACTCTACATGTTATGTTAGGACGAAGAAGGCATTTAATTTTTCTGTCTTTGTTCTTTTCTGAGGGAGTTATATGAAAGTTGGAAGAGAGTTAAGGTGTTGTTTCATGATTTATGACTTTAGTACTTAATTAGAGTCGTTTGGTAAAATGTATTAGTGAAAATAATGCATATATGAATTTTAATATTATATATTAATTCCTTGCTTGGTATAATTTTCTAATATAACCTATTTGGGTCCTTCAAGATGTTTCAGTTGGTTTAGAGGGTGGTCATCCACATAGATATTTCAGGATTGATCACTCTTCATGTCTTCTAAATTGAGTCATGCCTATTACAGTTTACGTCCCCGTGTAGTTTAATTTGCAGATCATTGTACGGTGACAAACAGAGGTTGTATGTTGAGATTGATTACATCTTAGTCCTTAATCTAATTAGTAATTAGTCGTAGTTAGTTATTACTGTTCATTACTGTTGATAGTTGGTTAATATTGCTTAGAGTTAGTTACTATGTTTGTTAGAATAGTTTGTTGAGATGATTCTCTTTTATTTCTATATATATTGTAAAGACTCAGTTGAGATAAATTCAACAATTCAGTTTTCCCCAATTCTTCAATCAGTCTCAGAACTCTTTCTTCTTCATCTCTCTGTTTCTCGAAGCTTCATCAATGGTGAACTGAGATTCACCCTAGCTTTCCTGAATCAATTACTGATGTTGGTACATTGTCATGTAAATGTTTTAATCCCTCTGTTGACTCCTGGATCATAGACTCCGGTGCCTCAAATCACATGACTTTCAACAAAAATTTGTTAACCAATATCAGACCATTACCTTACCCTTTCCTAGTAAATCTACCAAATGGCTATAGAGTAAAAGTGACAGAAATTGGTGATGTCTATTTGAATCCTTCCTTAACCTTGTATAAAGTTCTGTTTACTCCAAGTTTTAAGTTCAACTTGATTTCAGTACATTGTTTAGTCTCTCATTTTAAAGGCGTCATTAGTTTCAATTCCTCTTCTTGTTTGATGCAGGGCCCTTCAATGAAGAGCCCTCTGGAGATTGGTAGAGCACAAAGTGGACTATATTTCTTATGCTCAAAGTGTCATACTCCTTGTTCCAGTCTTAATGTTCAAGCAAATGGATCACATGATTTTTCATTGCCTGTCATTTCCAAGAGTTTAAGTACTGCAACATGTAACTCTCTGTGTAGTAATTCTGGTTCTAATTCAACATCATGTACCTCTCTGTGTGATATTTCTGGCCTGTCTTGTAGTGAAAGAAATAAAGTTGCAGTTCCTGTTTTCAATTCTCATTCTACTTCTACTTCTGCTCATCCTCCCACATCATGCATGTCTCATGGTAATAATGTTGATCTTTTATGGCACAACAGGCTAGGCCATGTACCCTTTATAAAAATGAAAGGAATCTCTTCTGTTCCCATACCCTTTTCACACAAACAACCCTTTGTATGTTCTATATGCCCCATGGCCAGACAAACAAGATCCCCTTTCCCAACAAAGACCACTTCTTCTAGTAACAAACCTTTTGACCTCCTTCACCTAGACTTATGGGGACCTTACCATGAAACCACCCACAATGGTTACAAATATTTCTTGACCATTGTAGATGATTTCAGTAGGTCAACCTGGACTCAACTCCTCACCTGCAAAAGCAATACACTCCAAACTATAAAGAATTTTGTCTCTCTTGTGGAGAACCAGTTTCAAACCACTGTTAAAACTATCAGAACTGACAATGGATCAGAATTCCTCAATGCTGAAACAAATGTCTACCTTCAAAATAAAGGCATAATACACCAGAAAACATGTCCATATACACCACAACAAAATGGTGTGGTAGAAAGAAAGCATAAACATCTTCTAGAAGTTGCTAGAGCATTGCTGTATCAATCCAAACTGCCTAACAAATATTGGGGAGAGTGTATCCTCACAGCAACTTATCTTATCAATAGACTTCCCAACTCAACACTCCATGATAAGACTCCATTTGAGAAATTATATAACAAACAACCCTTGTATTCTCACCTAAGATCTTTTGGATGTCTTTGTTTTCCTACGATCACAACTCACAAAAGCAAGTTTGACCCAAGATCCACACCACACATCTTTGTGGGATATCCTTTCAACACAAAGGGGTACAAGGTTTTAGACTTGAGCACCAAAAGAATACATGTTTCCAGGGATGTGTTTTTCTGTGAAAATATTTTTCCTTGTTCTATTTCTGAGCCAAACTCTAGTTTTGCCACAATATTAAAACATCTCACCACAAATTCAAACGTGCTGAATTTTGTTAATAGTCCTTTTAACAAAGTTAATGTGTTGGATGATGATACCATTAATAATGTCACTGATACTGCCCTGCCATTACCACCAACTCCACTTCCTTACAACAACACCTCACCACCACCCTGTGATCCTGGTGTAACAAACTTACCGAACACCATTGCACATCAAGATCAACACCACAATCTTAGAAGATCTACAAGATCACATACCATCCCTACCTACCTTAAAGAATATCAATACTCCTTACCTTCATCTGAAGCTTCAACCTCATCATCATTACCATCTCATCACACCTCCCTCACCAGTTTTAGTCCAGACAGTCAACATCTGGTTAACAATATTTCACATGACACTGAACCTTCTTCATATGAAGAAGCAGTGGCAGATCCTGCCTGGCAAGCAGCAATGACATCTGAATTTGAAGCTTTATATGCTAATAGTACTTGGGAGCTTGTGAAGTTACCTGCAAGGAAAAAGCAATAGGATGCAAATGGGTATACAAAATCAAACACAAAGCTGATGGTTCAGTGGAAAGATACAAGGCCAGACTTGTGGTAAAAGGTTACACTCAACAGGCAGGTGTTGACTACAATGAAACATTTTCTCCAGTGGTGAAAATGACTACAGTGAGGGCCCTGATTAGCACAGCTGTGAAGAAGGGTTGGGACATGTATCAGTTGGATGTCAACAATGCTTTCCTTCATGGAGATCTATCTGAAGAAGTTTACATGACCATACCTCAGGGACTGCTAGTAGATGATTCAGGCATGTGTTGCAAGCTCAAAAAGTCTCTATATGGTCTCAAACAAGCAAGTAGGCAATGGTATGATAAACTTGCTCAGGTCCTTTTCTCAAGAGGGTACACTCACTCCGACAGTGATTATTCCTTATTTTTGAGAAAGACTGGTACTTCCCTTGTATTTGTAGCTGTATATGTTGATGATATAGTGTTGACAGGGACTGATGTTGGTGAGATTAGTTCCCTGAGATGTTTTCTTCATGATAAATTCAAGATAAAAGATCTAGGGAAGCTCCATTATTTTCTGGGATTAGAGATCCTTTACAAGGACACTGGAGTTTTGATTTCACAAAGGAAATTTACTATTGATTTGTTAAAAGAGTTTGATTGTTCCTCATATAGACCAGTTCTGTCTCCTCTTGAGTCTACAGTTAAACTAAAGGCCAATGATGGGGTACTACTAAAGGATCCTACACATTACAGAAAGCTGGTGGGAAAGCTGAACTTCTTGACCCATACCAGAATAGATATAGCATTCAGTGTCCAGCATCTTAGCCAGTTTCTTCAATCTCCTAGGGAACCACATCTTCAAGCTGCATATCATGTTTTGAGGTATCTCAAGAGTGATCCTTGTCTAGGGATATTTTTATCCAATGATAAGAATTGCACTGTCACTGCCTACTGTGATTCAGATTGGGCTGCATGCCCTGATTCTAGAAGGTCTGTGAGTGGATACATTGTGTTGATGGGAGACAGTCCTATTTGTTGGAAATCTAAGAGGCAAACAACCATCTCTTTGTCCTCAGCAGAAGCTGAATACAGAGCTGTCCGGAAGGTAGTTGGAGAATTGGTGTGGCTGGAAAGATTGATGACTGAACTACATGTGCCATGTAATTTACCTATTCATGTGTTCTGTGACAGCCAGGCAGCTGTTCATATTGCAAGAAATCCTGTGTTTCATGAGAGAACAAAGCATATAGAAGTGGACTGTCATTTTGTTAGGGAAAAATTGCAGGAAGGTCTTATTGAACTTCACCATATACCAACTGAGGAACAGTTAGCTGATGTTCTGACCAAGCCATTACCAAGCTCAAAGCATTCTATCATTTTGCACAAGTTGGCTGTGAGCTACTCACCTCCAACTTGAGGGGGGGTGTTGAGATTGATTACATCTTAGTCCTTAATCTAATTAGTAATTAGTCGTAGTTAGTTATTACTGTTCATTACTGTTGATAGTTGGTTAATATTGCTTAGAGTTAGTTACTATGTTTGTTAGAATAGTTTGTTGAGATGATTCTCTTTTATTTCTATATATATTGTAAAGACTCAGTTGAGATTAATTCAATAATTTAGTTTTCCCCAATTCTTCAATCAGTCTCAGAACTCTTTCTTCTTCATCTCTCTGTTTCTCGAAGCTTCATCAATGGTGAACTGAGATTCACCCTAGCTTTCCTGAAACTCAACATGGTATCAGAGCCGTAAGGTTCATCTTTCCGCATCTATCATCTTCTTCTTCGTTTTCCTTCTATTCTCTGTCATCGTTGATTTCCAGTAGCCATGGCTCCAAATCTCGATCAGGAAAATGCACCACCAGTTCAAGTTCAGGATCTGCCAGTTCTATCCACCAATGTTTTCTACATGCATCCATCTGAGAATGCTGGATCTTCGATCGTTCCAGTTCTCTTTGATGGATCAGGTTATCGCTCTTGGAGACGAGGAGTTCTCAGAGCATTATCAGTGAAGAATAAGACAGGATTTATCAATGGAAAAATTGTGAAACCAGATCCAGATTCAGGAAATTTCGCCCAGTGGGAACGATGTGATGATATGGTCACTTCGTGGCTTCTCAATTCACTCTCAAAGGATCTCGCTGATAGCTTGCAATATGTTAACAATGCAAAGGAGTTGTGGGATGAGTTAACTGATAGGTACGATCAAACAAATGGAGCAAAGTTGTATCAATTGCAACGCGAAATAGCGGAATTAACTCAGGAGAACCTTGATGTTACTGGTTACTATACCAAAATGAGGAGACTATGGGAGGAACTTACTACTTTGGACACTAGTTGCCAATGCACATGTTCATGTACTTGTGGTGGAAAAACAAAGATGTACAAAGCTGAGCAGGATAGACAACTTATTCACTTCCTCATGGGGTTGAATGAAGTATACACAGTCATTCGAGGCAGCATCCTGATGATGAATCCCTTACCTACCATGGCCCAAGCTTTCTCCATCTTAGTACAAGAGGAAAAGCAGAGGGAAGTCAAACCTCATGGTAAGTTCAACCTGGAATCCACCTCTTTACATGTGAATGCTGCTAGTACTAGTACAAATTTTAAGATAAATTATGCTCCATCTAAAAGAAATTGGGGAAGTAACAGTGGTGGCAGCAGTGGAGGAAATTGGGGGAATAACAGTGGAGGAAGCAGGCCTCCAAATAAGTCTCATTTGTTCTGTGATTACTGTAAGAAGTCTGGGCATACAAGAGAAAAGTGCTTCAGACTCCATGGTTTTCCTGAAGATTTTAAGTTCACCAAAGGTAAGAATGTTGTAGGAACAGCAGCTGCTGCACACAAAGGAAAAGGTCATGAAGGAAGTGAAGATAGATATCATGAGAAGAGAACTCCAGTGTTAACTAAGCAACATCTTGAGCAGCTGGTGAATCTATTAGAAAATATTCAGGTCCAAGGAGGAAACAACAATGCAAACACAGCTAGAGATGCTGCAAACAACATTTTTGGTGGAGCTGCAAACTTTGCAGGTATTCTAACCTGTTCCTCTTCAATTACTGATGTTGGTACATTGTCATGTAAATGTTTTAATCCCTCTGTTGACTCCTGGATCATAGACTCCGGTGCCTCAAATCACATGACTTTCAACAAAAATTTGTTAACCAATATCAGACCATTACCTTACCCTTTCCTAGTAAATCTACCAAATGGCTATAGAGTAAAAGTGACAGAAATTGGTGATGTCTATTTGAATCCTTCCTTAACCTTGTATAAAGTTCTGTTTACTCCAAGTTTTAAGTTCAACTTGATTTCAGTACATTGTTTAGTCTCTCATTTTAAAGGCGTCATTAGTTTCAATTCCTCTTCTTGTTTGATGCAAGGCCCTTCAATGAAGAGCCCTCTGGAGATTGGTAGAGCACAAAGTGGACTATATTTCTTATGCTCAAAGTGTCATACTCCTTGTTCCAGTCTTAATGTTCAAGCAAATGGATCACATGATTTTTCATTGCCTGTCATTTCCAAGAGTTTAAGTACTGCAGCATGTAACTCTTTGTGTAGTAATTCTAGTTCTAATTCAACATCATGTACCTCTCTGTGTGATATTTCTGGCCTGTCTTGTAGTGAAAGAAATAAAGTTGCAGTTCCTGTTTTCAATTCTCATTCTACTTCTACTTCTGCTCATCCTTCCACATCATGCATGTCTCATGGTAATAATGTTGATCTTTTATGGCACAACAGGCTAGGCCATGTACCCTTTATAAAAATGAAAGGAATCTCTTCTATTCCCATACCTTTTTCTCACAAACAGCCCTTTGTATGTTCTATATGCCCCATGGCCAGACAAACAAGATCCCCTTTCCCAACAAAGACCACTTCTTCTAGTAACAAACATTTTGACCTCCTTCACCTAGACTTATGGGGACCTTACCATGAAAGCACCCACAATGGTTACAAATATTTCTTGACTATTGTAGATGATTTCAGTAGGTCAACCTGGACTCAACTCCTCACTTGCAAAAGCAATACACTCCAAACTATAAAGAATTTTGTCTCTCTTGTTGAGAACCAGTTTCAAACCACTGTTAAAACTATCAGAACTGACAATGGATCAGAATTCCTCAATGCTGAAACAAATGTCTACCTTCAAAATAAAGGCATAATACACCAGAAAACATGTCCATATACACCACAACAAAATGGTGTGGTAGAAAGAAAGCATAAACATCTTCTAGAAGTTGCTAGAGCACTGCTGTATCAATCCAAACTGCCTAACAAATATTGGGGAGAGTGTATCCTCACAGCAACTTATCTTATCAATAGACTTCCCAACTCAACACTCCATGATAAGACTCCATTTGAGATATTATATAACAAACAACCCTTGTATTCTCACCTTAGATCTTTTGGATGTCTTTGTTTTCCTACGATCACAACTCACAAAAGCAAGTTTGATCCAAGATCCACCCCACACATCTTTGTGGATATCCTTTCAACACAAAGGGGTACAAGGTTTTAGACTTGAGCACCAAAAGAATACATGTTTCCAGGGATGTGTTTTTCTGTGAAAATATTTTTCCTTGTTCTATTTCTGAGCCAAACTCTAGTTTTGCCACAATATTAAAGCATCTCACCACAAATTCAAACGTGCTGAATTCTGTTAATAGTCCTTTTAACAAAGTTAATGTGTTGGATGATGATACCATTAATAATGTCACTGATACTGCCCTGCCATTACCACCAACTCCACTTCCTTACAACAACACCTCACCACCACCCTGTGATCCTGGTGTAACAAACTTACCGAACACCATTGCACATCAAGATCAACACCACAATCTTAGAAGATCTACAAGATCACATACCATCCCTGCCTACCTTAAAGAATATCAATACTCATTACCTTCATCTGAAGCTTCAACCTCATCATCATTACCATCTCATCACACCTCCCTCACCAGTTTTAGTCCAGACAGTCAACATCTGGTTAACAATATTTCACATGACACTGAACCTTCTTCATATGAAGAAGCAGTGGCAGATCCTGCCTGGCAAGCAGCAATGACATCTGAATTTGAAGCTTTATATGCTAACAGTACTTGGGAGCTTGTGAAGTTACCTGCAGGGAAGAAAGCAATAGGATGCAAATGGGTATACAAAATCAAACACAAAGCTGATGGTTCAGTGGAAAGATACAAGGCCAGACTTGTGGTAAAAGGTTACACTCAACAGGCAGGTGTTGACTACAATGAAACATTTTCTCCAGTGGTGAAAATGACTACAGTGAGGGCCCTGATTAGCACAGCTGTGAAGAAGGGTTGGGACATGTATCAGTTGGATGTCAACAATGCTTTCCTTCATGGAGATCTATCTGAAGAAGTTTACATGACCATACCTCAGGGACTGCTAGTAGCTGATTCAGGCATGTGTTGCAAGCTCAAAAAGTCTCTATATGGTCTCAAACAAGCAAGTAGGCAATGGTATGATAAACTTGCTCAGGTCCTTTTCTCAAGAGGGTACACTCACTCCGACAGTGATTATTCCTTATTTTTCAGAAAGACTGGTACTTCCCTTGTATTTGTAGCTGTATATGTTGATGATATAGTGTTGACAGGGACTGATGTTGGTGAGATTAGTTCCCTGAGATGTTTTCTTCATGATAAATTCAAGATAAAAGATCTAGGGAAGCTCCATTATTTTCTGGGATTAGAGATCCTTTACAAGGACACTGGAGTTTTGATTTCACAAAGGAAATTTACTATTGATTTGTTAAAAGAGTTTGATTGTTCCTCATATAGACCAGTTCTGTCTCCTCTTGAGTCTACAGTTAAACTAAAGGCCAATGATGGGGTACTACTGAAGGATCCTACACACTACAGAAAGCTGGTAGGAAAGCTGAACTTCTTGACACATACCAGAATAGATATAGCATTTAGTGTCCAGCATCTTAGCCAGTTTCTTCAATCTCCTAGGGAACCACATCTTCAAGCTGCATATCATGTTTTGAGATATCTCAAGAGTGATCCTTGTCTAGGGATATTTTTATCCAATGATAAGAATTGCACTGTCACTGCCTACTGTGATTCAGATTGGGCTGCATGCCCTGATTCTAGAAGGTCTGTGAGTGGATACATTGTGTTGATGGGAGACAGTCCTATTTGTTGGAAATCTAAGAAGCAAACAACCATCTCTTTGTCCTCAGCAGAAGCTGAATACAGAGCTATCCGGAAGGTAGTTGGAGAATTGGTGTGGCTGGAAAG